GCAAATATATATATATATATATATATATATATATATATATATATATATATATATATATATATATATATATATATATATATATATATGTGAAAAAATCAATTTAAATTGTCAATTTAAAATCAAAATTCAATTTTACGCCATATTTAACATATAATAAAAACATATAATAATAAATATCAAAATTTTTTATAAATTTCTGAATAGACTTAATTATATTCTTTGAAATTTAGATTATCTTGCTGTTGGATCAGATTCTGGGCGTATTGTTATTCTTGAATATTTACCAGCTAAGAACTGTTTTGAGAAAGTGCATCAAGAAACTTTTGGAAAAAGTGGTTGTCGCAGAATTGTTCCAGGGCAATATTTAGCTGCTGATCCTAAAGGACGAGCTATTATGATAGGTCTTTTAATCATTTTTCAAGTTTTTTCTTTTTAAAAAGATTTTTTTCCTTTAAACTTTTTTTGTATTTTGTAGGTGCTATCGAAAAACAGAAGTTTGTCTATATTCTAAATCGAGATGCACAAGCAAGATTAACAATCTCATCGCCGCTAGAAGCTCATAAATCACACAATGTTGTGTTTCATATTGTTGGGATTGATGTTGGTTTTGAAAATCCAATGTTTGCCTGTTTGGAGTTAGACTATGAAGAAGCAGATGTAGACCATACAGGCGAAGCTGCACAGGCTGCACAACAAACTTTAACATTTTATGAATTGGATCTTGGACTAAATCATGTTGTGCGAAAATATAGTGAACCATTGGAAGAGTTTGCAAATATGCTTATTTCTGGTAAAACTTTTGTTTTAAATAAGTTCTGGTAAAATGTTTAACTTAATTAAATAATTATTGTCAGTAGACATAAGACATACATCTTGTCATTGCATCTTTTCAAGACAACTTTTTATTACTTAAAAAGAAATAGCTTAAAAAAAGCTTAAACTCAAAAACTAATCATTTTTGCTTGAAAAAATGTCACATACAAATGATCAATGTATTAGATTTATTGAAATTTAAAATACTCAAAAATACTTTTTATCATTTACAATTTCTTTTTCATTATTATTGATGTTTTTTTCTCTTTTCATTATTTTTTTTTGTGTGGAAATTTTAAGAATATTTGTTAAATATGTTAAACATGTTTGCATTTTTTTTTTGTTTGTTTGTTTTTTGTTTTCTATTCCAGCTTATTTTTATTCTTTATTAATAAAAATCAAGCTGGTGTTATTGTTTTTTTATTTTATTTTTTTATTTATATTTTTCTTACTAATAAGAGTAATATTAGTTTATTAGTCGTTTATTAGTAATATTAGAAATTAAATATTCTATTTATAAAATGTGTGTATTAAACAATTTTTTTTAAATCAAAGACAAATACATCATTAGCATTACATAATGATGATGTCATACTGAAATAAGAATCTGCAAGGGTACTCCCTTACTAAGGGTTTGGTACTCCCTTGCACATTTACAGACACTTATACTTTCCATTTTTATATTTTAGTTCCCGGAGGAAATGATGGACCTAGTGGTGTGATAGTTTGCTCAGAAAATTATTTAACATATAAAAACTTTGGCGACCAGCGTGACATTCGATGTCCAATTCCTCGGAGAAAGGTAATAAAGGATCATAGCCACCTGCCTCAAATTTTTGATGGTTATTTAACTATAGCTTAGTGATTTTTATAAAAAGTTTCAACATGCTTTACTATGCTAGTTGACAGCAGTTTTCATTACTAATGTACTTTCTATTAAAAAAAATGCTTTTTTAGTAAATTATATATAAAAAATATTATGAATTTTGGAGAAAATGAGAGATCAATTTTTATACAGTAGCATGAATGAATAATTTGGTGGAATGTGGTTTTACAAAAAAGGTTTTTGAAGTGCACTGCAAATTCTATGTGAGGCATTGCAGTACACTCTAGAAGCTACAGAGATTGTTGTTGTAAAAAAGTTAAGCTATAACTCATGAAAGAAATTTCAGAACATTATTTAAAAATTATATAGAGCATTATTTAATGAAATAAAATAATTTATCAAGTATTGTTTGATAAAGAATATTATATAATATAATTTGCTATTATGTTAATTTTAATATTTTGAATTGCATTCATAATTTAGAACGACTTGGATGACAATGAAAGAAGCATGATATTTGTGTGCACAGCTACCTACAAAACAAAAGTATATTAACAAAATTTATATATATATATATATATATATATATATATATATATATATATATATATATATATATATATATATATATATATATATATATATATATATATATATATATATATATATATATATATATATAAGTCTTTTATATGTGAAGATTATTCATTTATATTGGTTTGTTTATATATATTAATATATTGGTTTGTTTACATATATTAATATATTGGTTTGTTTATATATATTGATATATATATAAACAAGCCAATATAAATGAATAATCTTCACATATGAAAGAATTAAAAATATATATATAAATTTTAAATTTATATTTAATTTTTTATTTATATAATATTATATACAATTATTATATTAAATTTTAATATAATAATCGAATTAATAGATAATAAGTAATAATAGATTTTTTTTTTTTTGTTGTTGTTATTTACCTCTTTAAGGCCAAGAAGGCCACTACAGGCAAGGAGGCTACTTAATAGTGGTTATAACCCTCTCTCAACTCTATAACTCCGAAACACGAACCTTGACAAACAAGGCTGCTGCGCGGAGAAACAAGTTGAGCGCGGTACTACCAGGGACGTGGTGAGAATCGAACTCGGAACCTCTCGCTTATGAAGCGAGTGTTTTACCACTACGCCACTACCACATATATAATAATATTATATATTAATAGTATTAATAATATAATATATAATAGTATTAATAGATAATAATAATATTATATATTAATAGTATTAATAGATAAATTTTATTCTAGTACAACAAAGTAATCTAATGTATTTGTTGAATAAATTTTTATTTTTTAGTCAATGTTTTTTTTCTTGGTTCAATCTGAGCAAGGTGATATATTTAAAGTTACTCTAGAAACTGAAGAAGACATGGTATGATATTTAGAATGTTTTTGTTTATAATTTTTTATTGTCAGTTATATTATATTGATATTACAATTTTAATTACCATGGAGAATTATGTTTTTGAGTTTAAAGTTTACCTATACTTATACTGTAATTTCTTCTTTTGAAAATTCTCTTTGTAATAGTTAAAATTCGTATATTTTTTTAAAGTTTCTTTGTATTAGAATTAATACAAACACTTAATCTCTCATGCAACAATTTATATCATTTGGTTATATTTTTTGTATACTTTTTGGTATATATAGAGTTCAACAGCCCTTTTTTATTTTTATATTCTATAATATTTTATATTTTAATCCCAGTAACTGTTTAAGTTAGGAGTTAACTGAAAGCAAAGAGCTAAAGGGCAAAAAAAACAGTTGACAGAATACTTAAAAAACTACAATTGTATTAATTATTATTTAAGCATGAAGATGGAAGAGAATAGCAACTATGGTATTTGTAGAGAAGCAAAAAAAAAAAAACCTTAGGATGGGACAGAAGCTCAAGCTTAGCACCTACATATAGCTAACTACATTTATAATGACTTTATTAGTGAAATGAACTTAATGAAATAATTAATTTATCTATTAATAATTTAATAATTAATTTATTTAATTAGTTTATTGAATTGCAAAATTAAATAAAAGTAGGTTTATGATGAATGAAAAAATAAATTTTTATAATTAATGATGAGTTTGAATGCTGATTTTATGTATGGATATAATATTGTTGTCTTTTATTTGTCCACCAAATATATTCAATGGAATTCAGTTGGTTTATTCAACTTTCAACATCAAGTTAAAAGTTTACAACAACTTTAATAAAAATGCATTTTGATATGTATTGTTGAAGAAATCTTGAGGTAGTTTGTATTCATAGTATTGCAAAACTTGTTTATTCAACAGTTTGATAGTTGTATTTGAAAAGTAGATAAAGAAGAAGAGAAATAAAAAAATAATATTTTTTTGCTTTAATATTTATTCCGAGTTGCTTGTAACAAAATAACCGTCGTTGGTATTTGACCGGAACCTTGGATAAAGTATAACCGAGGCCTAGACCCGAGTTTGTCACCCGTCTTAAAGATGTATAAATGTATTTTCCATTTTTTTATACAACCTACAACTTATTAAGTCTTCATTAACCGTTTTCTAACTTTTTAACCTATCCTCTATTTTAAAAAAACACATAACTTAATAGTGGTTGCTTGCAACCTTGTTGGAAGTAAATTAGAGTTTAAATATATATATATATATATATATATATATATATATATATATATATATATATATATATATATATATATATATATATATATATATACCAGTATTTAATAAATAGTAAATAAATGTAGTAAATAAGTAATATATAAATTAATATATGTAAATAAGTAACTGAGTAAATATATATTATATATATATATATATATATATATATATATATATATATATATATATACAGGCCTTGTTAAAAAGCGTTTCCCTATTTGAATTTTATGTAAGTATTCACGATTTCATGTACACGTTTCATAATTTACGTTACGCAAAAACTTTTCAATAAGTTTTTTTTAAACTGTCTTTTAAAACAGATTATGCGGAAAACATTAAACTGTAATTAATTGTTGTAAAAAACATTTGTGGAATATTTTTTTTATTAGATAAAAAAACAGATAGATATCCTTTTTTCTATTTTCTGATTTAAAAAAAAAAATTATTTTAGTAGATTTAAATTAATTTTATTATTATTCATAGTTTTAGTAATTTATTTGATTAAATTTAAATAAAATTCTTTTAAAAAATTTCAAAATGCTTCAACTTTTGCATTTAAACAAATATTTTTTGCTTTTTAATTCATTCAAACTTTTTCGAATATTAGAAATTCCTTTTTGTAAAAAGTTAAATAATCTAAAT